GTAGCATTCTAAAAATAGAATTTAGTTTTGCCTGTTATTGAACTTTACGTAAATTGCAATCATACCAAACATAATGTTATACTTTGTTTTTCTTAAAACTAAATCTTATGTTTACATGATTCATTTATATGAACCAATGTAGCATAAAACATTCATTTCCATTGCTGTATGGCATTTATATTCTAAGAATACCATGATTCAGCCACCTTAATGTCTACTTACAATTCTAACATTGGACATTTTAGTAGTGGACATCTGAGTTGCTTCAGTGTTTTGACTGTTATAAACACTATTAGGACAAAAATAATACATGTATTTTGACGTACAAGTGCATAAATTTGACTAAGATATATCTAGGAGTAAAACTTCTCGATGTGTGTATCTTTATTATACAAAGCCAAACTGGTTTCTGAATGAATTGCGCCTAGTCATAGTTTTTTTTTAAAAAAAAAAAACTCAGTAGTTTAAAACATGCTAGATTATTCAAACATAATTCTACTTCCAGTTGGAAGGCTTCTAGAAATGCTAATATTAGTTTACATACAGTAATTTAACCTTAAAAATGAGCATAATCTGAATGTCTAAAAAGGTACATGTTCATTAAAAAATTCAAAACTACTTTACAATAAACATGGTAGAAAAATATATTGGGTTATAAATTATCTAAAACATTTTATATAACTTTTAGAATAAGTGAAATATAACCAGGTCATAATTTATTATGCCTCTAAGACAGGCGTCCCCAGAACTACAGCCAGCGGGCCGCATGCGGCCCCCTGAGGCCATTTATCCAACCCCTCGCCGCACTTCAGGAAGGGGCACCTCTTTCATTGGTGGTCAATGAGGGGAGCACATTATGTGGCGACCCTCCAACGGTCTGAGGGACAGTGAACTGGCCCTCTGTGTAACAAGTTTGGGGATACCTGCTCTAAGAGGTAAAGACTAATATTATGATTATGAAATTACAAATTATTATTGCATATTTGATTTCAAAGGCAGTTGAACATTATAATGGTTGCAGGCAATCGGTACCACAACATTCTCCAACTGTAAATGACAAATTTCTTGTAATTTCATAAATGGATATGAGTCTACTGTGATAAACATTTAATTCTTCCACTGCCTAAACTATTACATGTTACAAAGCTATTGTCAAAGCATCTAGAAATTTCCAAGTACAAGGAGAGGCTAATTATTTCTTTAAACTACTTAGACATGAAAAAATCCTAAAAATTCAAAATTGTTTTTGAACATACTTTGATTTTTGGTCTTTCTTCCTTCTCAGGCAATGAATGTGAAATATAAATGACCATGAGTGAAGAAAGGACAGCAACCCAAAGAGAAGCAGACTCTGACAGTGATTAATACGGAGCTGCCAAAGGATGTCTGGCAGCAAAAAGAAGAAGCAATAGCTTATGTAACTGATAACAAATTAGTCAGTAAGACTCTAATAATATATCTCCCTGGAACCTGAGATACTGTGTTTGATGAATTGTTTAAACCAGTCCACATTCTTCTGTAAACCAGCGAGACAAAAATACAGTAAAAAATAAATTACAGTTAACTTCTGTTATTCAAATTGGTTGAAAGAACGGGTTGGTCAGTAAATGGAATATGCTAATTAACAGAATTTTCAAACATACTGCCAATTAAAAATTTGAATATAATATGTTTTTCACTAACACCATGCTGAATATCAGTTCATCTTTCCTTAAGTATTCTAAAAGGATTTCTATATTTCAAGTAATTCTTATAAGCCATGACAACACTGACTAATTCTATTAAGGCAGAAAGTGTGAGAGACTAGACTGAACTTCTGTTCCTCTTGTAACTTATACACTGGAATCTATCTTGTTGAACTTCACAAAGCCTGACTCACCACATGGCCTTATAACAGTAGAGTACATAATGCAGAAAAAAAATTCTGGGTATTTGAGCTCTCTAGTTATTTGAATCTCTTTGGGGGTGGGGGTGGGGAGGGTGTTTCCACATAATTATGAACTTACGATTAACCCAAACTTCTGTCGAATCTCAAAACATATTTCTCAGAGGGATATTCTTCTCACTGAACATTAATAAATATATTATAATATGTTAAAAAGGGGTACAGGTAAAAAATGCTAAACTGTGGTGTATTCAAAGATGACTCTGTGGCTGGGCTCGGTGACTCATGCCTGTAATCCTAGCATTTTGGAAGGCCGAGATAGGCAGATCATGAGGTCAAGAGATCAAGACTATCCTGGCCAAAATGGTGAAACCCTGTCTCTACTTAAAAAAAAAAAAAAAAAAATTGCTGGGCACGGTGGCTCACACCTGTAATCCCAGCACTTTGGGAGGCCGAGGTGGGTGGATCACAAGGTCAAGAGATCAAGACCATCCTGGTCAACATGGTGAAACCCTGTCTCTACTAAAAATAAAAAAAATCAGCTGGGCATGGTGGCACGTGCCTGTAATCCCAGCTACTCAGGAGGCTGAGGCAGGAGAATTGCCTGAACCCAGGAGGCAGAGGTTGCGGTGAGCCAAGATCGTGCCATTGCACTCCAGCCTGGATAACAAGAGCAAAACTCCATCTCAAAAAAAAAAAAAAATGAGCTGGGTGTAGTGGCAGACACCTGTAGTCTCAGCTACTAGGAGTCCGAGACAGGAGAATCACTTGAACCCAGGAGGTGGAGGTTGCAGTGAGATCGCACCACTGCACTCCTACCTGGTGACAGAGCAAGACTCCGTCTCAAAAAAAAAAAAAAAAGATTACTTTGTTCAAACCAAAGTTTCATCACCCATGTCTCGAACATCGGCTTCTCATGCAAATAATTATAAAGGCTTCCTTTGGAAAAAAGATGGCTCTGAACCTTGATGAAAACATTCATGTCGGCCGGGCGAGGTGGCTCAAGCCTGTAATCCCAGCACTTTGGGAGGCCGAGGCGGGTGGATCACGAGGTCGAGAGATCGAGACCATCCTGGTCAACATGATGAAACCCCGTCTCTACTAAAAAAAAAATACAAAAAATTAGCTGGGCATGGTGGTGCATGCCTGTAATCCCAGATACTCAGGAGGCTGAGGCAGGAGAATTGCCTGAACCCAGGAGGCGGAGGTTGCGGTGAGCCGAGATCGCGCCATTGCACTCCAGCCTGGGCAACAAGAGCGAAACTCCGTCAAAAAAAAAAAAAAAAGAAAACATTCATGTCATCAGATATGGTCTCTAGCCTCTTAGGGTAAGGACCTGACTATTCTAGATTCTAGTGGGTTTAGAAGGGAAACAAGGGCCCTGAGAATTTGTGACTATAAAGTAATTGCCCTCACAAGGAGTCCCAAAATGGTGAGATGTACAGATATCAAAGAAAGAAGGATAACAAAGAGAAGATAGAAACTATCATAAACAGATAATAATGCAACAGAGGGAAAAAGATCATCATCCTCAAAGTGAGACAAAGTGAAAATCATAATAAAGCTATTATAATTAGAATTAGGTTTTCAGAATTAGGACCATGAATCTAACATAATTGCTCTTCACTTCCAGAATGCTAAACCTCAAAAAAAAAAAAAAAAAAAAAAAAGCTGTCCTTTTAAACCTCCTGGCCTCTGTTACATTTGACACTATTCACTGCTTCCTCTGCTGCTGTCTGTTTCTTTAATTCTGCCCTTTACACAGGTATGAAATGAATTGATCTAAAATGATCATATGACTCTATTATTCCCTAGCTCCAAACTGATCAATGGGTCCTCATTAGCTCTAGAATAAAGCCTGCGTTTTTGGCCAGGTTCGGTGGCTCACGCCTGTAATCCCAGCACTTTGGGAGGCCGAGGTAGGCGGATCACAAGGTCAAGAGATTGAGACCATCCTGGCCAACGTAGTGAAACCCCGTCTCTACTAAAAAATACAAAAATTAGCAGGGCGCGGTGGCGCGTGCCTGTAATCCCAGCTACTAGAGAAGCTGAGGCAGGAGAACTGCCTGAACCTGGGAGGCGTTGGTTGCAGTGAGTGGAGATCGCATCACTGTGCTACAGCCTGGCGCCAGGGCAAGACTCTGTCTCAAAAAAAAAAAAAAAGCCTGCATTTTGACATGATAACAAAGTCTTCACAATTTCCCATCTTACCATTTTTACCTCATACCACTCCCTGTGTACAACTGCTATAGTAAACTGTAATTTCATACGGTTCCCTTTGTCCCTTTGTATACTGGGCCCTATCCTATTTCCATACATTTTCTCATATTGTGACTTTTGTCAATAATTCTTTAGTCCCTCCCTTTCCCCTCTCAACCTTCCCCAATCTCATTTATGTCTTGACAAAGCTGCTGCCCCCTCCGGAAAGTATTTTCTGAAAGTTCTGGCAGAGCTTGCTTGGGTAATTCTCCTCTCTATTCTCTTTACCTATGTATCACTTTCCCTTAGCATACTATAAGTTATTTAATGAGTATATATTATTTTTGTCATCAGAAAAATAAAGAAACATAAAAGAGAAAAAAATATTAAGTACATGCCTACATTATCTGTGCCTCATCCTGGACTATGAGGTCTTTGAGAACACAAATTATAAATGATCATCCTTATAATCCCACTTCCTAGCCCAGTACCTGACAATTGATGTTCAATAAATCATCTGTCATATGAAGGTGACTGACGGGAAAGAGGACATATAACAATACATGACAGAAATGATAAAGGACTTCCTTGTCACCGTGCAGTGTGTCAGAATGATCCAGGTCCTGATATTTGGGCAGTTACACTGACTTCTTTAATTCAAGAGGATTTTAGTTAAAAAATAAATCAAATTAAGCAATTTATCCTTTTCTAGTCAACAAAATTAATTTTATTGAGAAGCTGTCCTATTCTTGACACTAGATCTCTTACTTTATCATCCAATGTACCGTTTTTAAAACAATATGCCATATGTAATCTCCATCAGGTAAATGGGAAATAAGAAGGAAGAACAAAGCCAGCAGAAAGTAAAATACACTTGGCAGCACTGTGCTATTTTATCGCATGGACTGTTACTTACATGCAGCAGTAATACAGCAGCAAGAAAAGACTGCCCTTGACAGTACCCGATGTCTTCATCATACACAGAGTAGGCCTAGAGAAGAAATAAAAAGAAAGAAATATTGTAAACAGTCGCCAATTTAGCTTAAATGTTTGCTCATACCAGGCTCCTGCCTGTTCCTGTCCCTGGGCTGTCCACCACCGTTCCACTGATCTTTCAACTTGAATGTGTGTACCATTAGCACAGGGAGATCCCCAAAAGACTGTACACTTTCTGAAGCAGCTCTGTATCCCTTTATCCCAGGTTCCTCTTTAGAATTTTGAAATAAAGAGATGTTCAGAGGACCTAAGTTAATTTAACAAGATCCATTATAGGCCGGGCATGATGGCTCACGCCTGTAATCCCAGCATTTTGGGGGGGCTGAGGCAGGCAGATCACCTGAGGTCAGGAGTTCTAGACCAACCTGACCAACATGGTGAAACTAGTCTCTACCAAAAATACGAAAATTAGCTGGGCATAGTAGCAGGTGCCTGTAATCCCAGCTACTCAGGAGGCTGAGGCAGGAGAATTGCTTGAACCTGGGAGGCAGAGGTTGCAGTGAGCCAATATCAGGCCACTGCACTCTAGCCTGGGCTACAGAGTGAGACTCCATCTCAAAAAAAAAAAAAAAAAAAAAAAAAGATGTTCTCTAACAAGATAAAGAGGCTGCTATGTGGGAGTACAAGAATAGGTCAAACTTCTAAAACATTCCGATTCAGCTTCTTGGTACTGCTAACATAACTGACATATTTGCCAATTTACTTGCTATTGATTAACAGTGGCAAAGTTCACCAGTTTTAATTCTGACATGTGTTTCTCCAATTTCTAATGTAAATATTGAACTGTCATGATTTTTTCAGTACAGATTGAAGAGCAATGCTGAGAACAGACAATACTAACGCAGACCTCCTTTTTATTTAACAGGAGCTTGATATTTACATAAGGCAATTTGCCATTTGTTGGATAAACTGTTTCACCTATAACCTACAATGAACTTATGCCAACATGAGGCTAAAACACATAAATTAGCCTTCGGATGATAATTTTTGGCAGCAGTAGCCCTTAAATGGGTATGTCAGAGGAACAACCAAGTAAAAAATATGTGGAATAAATTTATTTACAAACTAAAATGAGATCTGTTCTCATATAAGCCGGGAGACACAAAGAGATACCAAGGAAAGCCTAGTTTTAAGTAATGCCACAATAAGCTAAGTAAAAAGAGGTCATAGAATGACAAGACACTAGTTGTTTAAAAGAAATTACAGTAATATTTAAAGAAAGATTAATGTAGTATATACTGTAAGAATACAAGTGGCTTTCAAAGAATTCTTTGCATTAATTTCTCTGTTAAATAATTAACATTTATTTATTAGTAATCACTACTCTACTGTTCCATTTATTTACATATACTAATTTACTTAATCATTATAACACCCCTCTGGGAATAAGTACTCTTATTATCCTCATTTTATAGATAAAGAAGCTAAGGCCAGCTGAGCTCAGTGGCTCACGCCTATAATCCCAGCACTTTGGGAGGCTGAGGCAGGCGGATCACAAGGTCAAGAGATCCAGATCATCCTGGCCAACATGGTGAAACCCTGTCTCTACTGAAAATATAAAAATTAGCCAGGTGTGGTGGTGCGCGCCTGTAATTCCAGCTACTGGAGAGGCTGAGGCAGGAGAATCGCTTGAACCTGGGATGTGGAGGTTGCAGTGAGTGGAGATGTCACCCCTGCATTTCAGCCTAGTGACAGAGAGAGACTCTGTCTCAAAAAATTAAAAATTAAAAATAAAGAAAGAAAGAAGCTAAGGCCAAGCGCAGTCACTAATGCCTGTAATCCAAGCACTTTGGGAGGCCAAGGTGGGTGGATTACCTGAGGTCAGGAGATGGAGACCAGCCTGGCTAACCATGGCCAACATGGTAAAACCCTATCTCTACTAAAAATACAAAAATTAGCTGGGCATGGTGGTGCATGTCTGTAATCCCAGCTACTCAGAAGGCTGAGGCAGGAAAATTGCTTGAACCCAGAAGGCAGAGATTACAGTGAGTCGAGATCACGCCACTGCAATCCAACCTGGGTGACACAGTGAGACTCTGTCTCAGAAAAAAAAAGAAATGAAACAAAACAAAATGAAGGCACTAAAAAATTAAATACTTAGTTCAAGGTACGTTAAATAATTTGTTCCAGCTAGAATGCAGCAGAGGTAGAATTCAAACTCTGGCAGTCCAGTCCAGAGCCCAGGCATTTAGCCACTGTCACTATTTGGTCTCTGGATCTCATAACACTCAGGTGAATGAGTATAAAAACCTAACTATAAAAGGCCAATTTTTCTTTTTAATCTGCATTTAATAAATATTCATAAACTAATCAGAGAAATGACTTTAGTTAAAGAATGCAGAGAAATAACCATCATCACAAAATTCACTAGAGTGGTTGACTCTGGTAGGGAAAGACTGGATCTAAAAGGAGCACTTGAAAGGTATTAAAAAATATTGTAGTATTTCCTATGTTGTAGGTTCAAGGACGTTACTTCTGCTATTGTTTTTTCAAATAATAAATTATTTTATTCATTTGAATGTGTATTACATAATTTTAAAAATTAGTTAAAATATTTTAAAAATTACTCGTTAGTAATCATCTGTTCAATGGTGTGTGTTAAGATTTCAATTTAGGTGATTTCTCCAGAATACAAATATACTGAAGACACATCTCAAGCCTTCATTAGAGTTTAAGATTAAAACAGTGAAGTAGATAACAAATGACAACTATTTTGGGGGATAATTGTACAAATTATACAAACTGCACAAACTGTGTACAAATATATACAATCAATTCTCATTGTTCTTAGTAATTACATTCTACAAAGGTGCCCCAACACTGAATAAGCAAATACTGAATTACTGCCCCTAGGGATAATAGAGGGTTGGGCTCCTGAGAACCGCTGGTCACAACATTTTCAGCAACCAATCAATATACAAAGTTGTTTTAAGGGTATTTCTGTTTAAAGATACCTTATTTAATATATATTGTTGATTCATTAATATTGAACTCATGGCCAACATTACTTTAACTCATGCCTCAATGAATCTTATGCAACGTGTATTTTCTCTGCAAGGCACATCACAGCCTCCTAGTCCCTAGAAACATGGGACAGCATTTCAGCACTACACCTAGGGACCACTTCAAACAGAAAAATCACCAAGAAGCACAAAAAATACAAAAAGCATGGCAATAAGTATATTGCAAAAGAATACTTGTTTGCAGTGTAAGAGATGAAATAAGAAGGGAGAGCATCAACTTTTCCACCTGAGCTTGAAATGTGTGCATCAGGTGACTAAAATTTTAGACACTGCATATTCACATATCAGTGAATAACTACAAAAGTATTGAGAGTATTGATTTTGTGGTTACAAATATATTTTAGCACGTAGGTGAATTTGCAAATACGGAATCTGTAAATAATGAGGATCAACTATGTGTGTGTGTATGTGAGTATATATACATATGTACACAGGCATTCCACCCTTAATGACTGGCATATGTTCTGAGAAATGTGTCATTAGGCAATTTTGTTATGTGAACATCATAAAGAGTATTTCTATAAACTTAGATGACATAGCTTATTATGCACGTAGCCTATACTGTATAGCCTATTGCTTCCGAGCTATAAACTTGTACAGCATGTTAGGGTACCTGCTATTCATGCTTACGGCAATTCTTTACTGCGTTGCTACAGGACACAATGTATGTGCTACAGTTTTATATAACAGTATGATAATTATTTGAGTAACTGAAAAATGTGGTATAAAAGATTACAAATGGCACACCTGTATAGGGCACTTACTGACAATGCATCTGGCAGGACTGGAAGTTGCTCTGGGTGAGTCAGTGAGTGACAGTGGGTGAATGTGGAGCCCTGGAATATTACTGTACACCAATGTGGCCTTTATAAATACTGTACACTAGGCTACAATGAATCTATTTTTAAAATATCATTCTTAGATGACAAATTAATCTTAGCTTCTGTAACTTTATTTTATAAACGTTTAATTTTTAAAACCCATTAACTTTTGTAATACCCTGCATAAAACTAAGCTGTACAGCTATACAGAAATATTTTAATATTTTCTTTCTTTATATCCTTGTTTTATAGATTTTTCTACTTAAAATTTTTTCATTTATTTGTTTTTACTTTTTAAGCTGTTTTATTAAAAATGAAGACACAAACACCCACATTAGCCTAAGCCTATACAGGGTCAGGATCATCAATATCACCGTCTTCCACCTTCACATCTTGTCCCATTAAAGGTCTTCAGGAACAAAAATATGCATGGAGATATCACCTCCAGTGATAACAATGTCTTCGTGGCCAGGCCAAGAAGGTGCCTCACACCTGTAATCCCAGCACTTTGGGAGGCCGAGGCAGGGTTAGCAGTTCAAGACTAGCCTGACTAACATGGTGAAACTCTGTCTCTACTAAAAATACAAAAATTAGCTGGGCGTGGTAGTGCATGTCTGTAATCCCAGCTACTTGGGAGGCTGAGGCAGGAGAATTTTGCATTAACCCAGAAGGCGGAGGTTGCAGTGAGCCAAGATTGTGCTATTGCACTCCAGCCTGGGTGACAGAGCCAAACTCTGTCTCAAAAAAAAAAAAAAAAAAAAAAAAAAAATGCCTTCTTCTGGATACCTTCTGACAGACCTAACTCAGGCTGTTTTATGGTTATTTTATAAGTAGAAGAAATACATCCTAAGATAACAATTAAAAACTACAGTATAGTTAAATATATAAACTAGTAGTGTAGTTGTTTATTGTCCTTATCAAGTATTATTTACTGTACACAATTGTATATGCTATACTTTTCTACAGCTGGCAGCACAGTAGGTTTTATACCGGCATAACCACAAATAGGTGAGTAACGTGTTGCACTATGATGTTATGATGCTATGATGTCACTGGGTGACAGGAGTTCTTCAGCTCCATTATAATCTTATGGGACCACCATTGTACACACAATCCATTATTGACTGAAATGCTGTTAAAGGTTGCATGAT